ACTTTTGGCTGTCCACCTTGTTGGACCCCCTCGCTACCGTTCCGCAAAATGGTGGCCTTTTTCACACCTGCTGAGAGGGAGGCCAAAATAACGTACTATAAAAACCCACCTATGTAGTCAGTTGGTCTCTGCCTTTGTGCGCCAACGTCCATCCTCAGACACTGTGGGCCCTGTGCGCTCACAAGCGTTCCGCTGCCATGGGTCGAGCAGGGGAGGGGTTTGGGGTGGTAGGAGCAGTGGTAGCTCCACCAGCATGCGGCTGCCTCAGTCTGCAGTCGATGATGAGTAGCTTTCTTCACCAGCGCAGTGAGGAAACTACTAACCAGCTGCAGCAGCAGCAGCAGCATCAGGTGGACCTGGAGCAGGACCTCAAACAAACAGGCTTGGGCCTACTTGACAGCACCCTGCCCCAACCGAGGTAGACAATCCCCTTGACTACTGGGCAACGAAACTTGACCTTTGGCCCCAACACTAGCAGAATTTGCCCTTGAAAGGCTGTCATGCCCGGCCAGTAGCGTGGCATCGGAGCGCGTGTTTAGTGCGGCAGAAGGTATTGTAACTCCGCGGAGGACACGACTTTGTCCACCCAAAGTGTGGAGAGACACACGTTTGTGAAAAATGAATCAGGCGTGGATTAGTCTGAATTTCACACCATCAGTTCCTGACACAACTGACTAAATCCACCATGAATCATGCCCCAAACATGTTATTATTTTTAACATAGGCCTCTGTATGGCCTTCAATTTAAGCTGCTTACGCTTCGCCACTCTGCCATGGGCCCCTGTACAGCCCTCCTCTTGCTGCTGCCAGGTCCAGAGTGTGTTATGGGTCCCTGTACGGCCTCCCCATTGCTGCTGACTTCATCGCCAGACTCTGCCATGGTGCCAATTTCAGGTCTCCTTACACTGTTGGTGGGTTCCATTTTGTGATAGGGTGCTGTATGGCCTTCCATTGCTGCTTGCCTCCCACCGCCCACCCTGCGCCATGTGCCTCTGTCCGTCTGCTCACGCTGCTGACGGGGCCTTCCGCGCTTTTTTAACCGAGGCCTGTGTTTTTGGCTCTCCGCGAATACTGCTGCAATCCACCGCCACCCTGCTCCATGTGTCTCTGTCGTCTGCTCACGCTGCTGACGGCTTCCGCTTTTTAACCTAGGCCTGTGTATGGCTTCAGAATAATGCTGCCTACAATCCGCCACCCTGCGCCATGTGCCTCTGTCCACGTCTGCTCACGCTGCTGCCAGGTCCATACTGATTCATGGCCCCCTGTACCGGCTCCTCATGAACGTGGTTCAGCGGGTTTTGCATCACTTTAACGGCAAATCGTTGACAAACGCTGGGACGTTCAGTGTTGTGCGCATTAAGCCAGACACCAAAGGGCAGCACAGACCTGTTATTACTCGCTCAAGCATGGCTGAACAAAACCAGTCTCTACCACAAATTGGACCCAGACCTGCCCAGGGTCTCGTAAGTAGATTGCACGGAGGAGTAGAGTTTCGTTATTGGTAATTAACTGTGAGGGACTTTTTAAACCTAGGCCTGTGTATGGCCTTCAATTGAAGCTGCTTCTGCTCCGCCACTCTGCCATTGGACTCTTGATAGTCGAGACCCAGATGAAAAGTGGCACATGGCAGAGTCTGGCGATGAAGTCAGCAGCAATGGGAGGCCGTACAGGGGACCCATACACATCAATCTACTCTGGGACCTGGCAGCAGCAAGCAGGAGGAGGCGGTACAGGGGCCCATGGCAGAGTGGCGAAGCGTAAGCAGCTAAATTGAAGGCCATACAGTAGGCCTATGTTAAAAAGTCCCCCCAGGCAGCAGCAGCAGTGTGAGGAGACGACTATTAATCGTAATTCCCGTAATCTGCCATGGGCCCCCGTACCGACTCCTCATGCTGCTGCACAGGCTCGTAATCTGTCATGGGCCCCTGTACGCCATCAGGGGGGGGGGGGGGGGGGGGGCTCATCATGCTGCTGCCAGGTCCAGAGTGTGTCATGGGTCCCTGTACGAGCCTCCCATTGCTGCTGTCTCCATCGCCACACACTCTGCCATGTGCCACTTTCAGGTCTCCTCACACTGCTGGGTGGGTTCCATTTTTGTCATAGGTGCAGCTGTATGGCCTCCCATTGCTGCTGCCAGGCCCGTAATCTGCCATGGGCCCCCGTAGCTACCGACTCCTCATTGCTGCTGCCAGGCCCGTAATCTGTCATGGGCCCCTGTACCGCCTCCTCATGCTGCTGCCAGGTCCAGAAGATGTGTCATGGGTCCCTGTACGGCCTCCCATTGCTGCTGTCTCCATCGCCACACTCTGCCATGTGCCCACTTTCAGGTCTCCTCACACTGCTGGTGGGTTCCATTTTGTCATAGGGTGCTGTATGGCCTCCCATTGCTGCTGCCAGGCCCGTAATCTGCCATGGGCCCCCGTACCGACTCCTCATGACTGCTGCCAGGCCCGTAATCTGTCATGGGCCCCTGTACCGCCTCCTCATGCTGCTGCCAGGTCCAGAGTGTGTCATGGGTCCCTGTACGGCCTCCCATTGCTGCTGTCTCCATCGCCACACTCTGCCATGTGCCACTTTTAGGTCTCCTCACACTGCTGGTGGGTTCCATTTTGTCATAGGGTGCTGTATGGCCTCCCATTGCTGCTGCCAGGCCCGTAATCTGCCAATGGGCCCCCGTAACAACTCCTCATGCTGCTGCCAGGGCCCGTAATCTGTCATGGGCCCCTGTACCGCCTCCTCATGCTGCTGCCAGGTCCAGAGTGTATCATGGGTCCCTGTACGGCCTCCTCCCATTGCTGCTGTCTCCATCGCCCGCCACACTCTGCCATGTGCCACTTTCAGGTCTCCTCACACTGCTGGTGGGTTCCATTTTGTCATAGGGTGCTGTATGGCCTCCCACATTGCTGCTGCCATCCACCGCCACACTGTGGCTCCACACTCTGGTTTTTGGCCCCGTGACTGCCCAAATGAGTGAAGTGTGCGGTGATTCTAAGATCGACGGCACTCATCTGCATGTCATACTGACTGACAGTATTATTATTTCTCTTCCCCAGCAGACTCCAAGGGCATTTAAATTAAAGGTACAGTGTTCTGCACTAAATATAAAGGCTCTCTGAAGCCTAGAAAACACCTTTTTTATAAGTTAAATTCGCAGCGAATATATTTGCATCGAATCGAATTTATTCCGCGAATTCGGCGAATCAGCCGAATCGAATTTTTGAATAATTCGCTCATCTTCTAATAATATAATAATCTTTACCTGATGTCCTATTATGCTGAACAATATATGCATGCCTATTTCCCACAATGTACTTTCATGTTCCTAAAATTTGACCTGATTCCCTCATCCACACACTTGATGTGGGAATCCCCCCCCCCACACTTTGTCATTGTGTTCTGACAGTTTATGGAGACTCCCCCCTCACGCTATCAGAATACACAGATCAGCGCTGCAGTCTATAGTATGCAGCACTGATTGAGTGGGAAAATACTGGCAGGGAGGATAGTTTTACTTCTGTTAAACTAGAGTGGCCACACATGGAATCAAAATTTGTTCAGCCACTGTTGAACAGGGCAGATTTCAATCCACGTGTGGACAGCTTGATCCTCCAAAAAAACAAAAACGAATTTTATATAAACAAATCTTTTATGTATCAGCGCAATGGTGTTGATTTACTAAAAGCTTGTTCAATTAAGCTTTGACAAAAAAAAAAAACGGAAGCTGATTGGTTTCTATGCAGAGCTGCACCAGGTTTTGCACTCTCCCCCGTTTTAGCAAATCAACCCCAAAGCATTCAAACTAACCAATCATTGTAAGAGTATGATGGCCAAGTGTGTTAGCTCTCTTTTTGCAGCCCTGGATCTTGAATATGAGCTACTATAAATATAAAATCTTCTGTATGTTTGTATTTTCCCCACAAAAGCGGCAACCTGACATATTAGTGTAAAGTGAAATTGTATGTGAGCACAATTGTTCTTAACCGCTTCCACAGAAATACTGCTACAGGGCGGCACAGGTGTATATATACGTGATTTTGCATTTGCGGGTAAGGGGCGCGTGGGAGAGCCCTACTTGCTCCACCATTCGCAGCCGCGGCTGTCAATCACCGGGTCCCGGCTAGTGATTACTTGTTGTTGCGCCCGCTGATTACTCGCCGGCGCTCGGTGATTTCTGAGGATCTCCAACAGGGAGGAGAACTGTTTTGTTTACTAACAGTTCTTCTCCCTGTCAGCTCGGGCACACTGCTTTGGATAGCTGTGCACAGCACAGCCATCCAAAGCGGTGTGCTTACAGAGAAGCACACAGACACAGCCCCATAGTAAAACACTCCCAGCACACAGTTAACTCTTTGATTGCCCATCATGTTAACGCCTTCCTGCCCAGTGCCATTAGTACAGTATCAGTGCTTTTTTTATCACTGTTCACTGTATTGGTGTCATTAGGGATGTCAGTGACACCAAGTCAGTTCCTCCCAGTGTCAGAATGTCCACCGCAGTCCCGCAGTCCCGCAGTCCCGCTATAAGTCGCTGATTGCCACCATTACTAGTAAAAATTCAAACAAAATTCCAGTATATATACCTCCATTTGCAAACACTACTTTCACGTAAAGCAATTAATTTACACATATTGGGATTTTTTTTTTAGCAAAGACATGTAACAGAATACATTTTGGTGTAAATTTAGGATGAAATTTGATTTTTTAAATTTTTTTACTGGACATGTTTAATAGCAAAAAGTAAAAAATATTGTTTATTTTTCTCAAAATTGTCACTTTTTTATAGCGCAAAGAATAAAAAACACACAGGTGATCAATTACCACTGAAAGAAAGCTCAATTTGTGGGAAAAAAAAGGACATAAATTTCATTTGGGTGCAGCATTGCATGACAGCGCAATTGTCAGTTAAAGTAACGCAGCTCCGAAACGCAAAAAATGGCCTGGTCAGGAAGGGGGGTAAATCCTCCAGAGGGCAAGTGGTTAACAGGGGCGGACTGACAACTCATGGGGCCCCCGGGCAATAGGGGATCATGGGGCCCCTGTGTCCTGTGTCATGGGGCCCAAACTCAAAAAAAGCCTATGAAAAAGGTACCAGGGGCATCTCATGGGGCACCCTACTGACCCCCAGGCCCTCGGGCAGTGCCCGAGTACCCAAATGGTCAGTCCGCCCCTGGTGGTTAATCAACTTTCCTGAGATCAGGAAAATTGATTGAGTAGGGGTGCAGTAGGGGCAGGGCTAATAGTGGTGCCTGTATTCTGGCAAAATAAGGGACAGGACTTGACAGAAAGTTTGAGGTGATTTTTAATTTTTTTGCCCAGTGCTGAAATGACTTCAATCTATAACAACAACACATGTGATTCAATAATTTTAGACAGGATTGTAACAAGTGTGCTTTAACACACAGCTTAATTTCCATGCCGTCATTTATAGAGTGCAAAAAAAATGACGAAATGCAATATATTTGTGATTAGGTTAAATTTATTGAAAATTAAATGAAACTAGCTAACAAGCATAGACCAGGAGTCCTTAACCAGGGGAATAGGAACTAAATGATGGTGGTATGGGACTGGATCTTTGACATGAGCTGGCTTGTGTACTTGTGATGTGCTGTTTTGTATAAATAAATGTGATAATACTGTCCTGACTTTCTTTTTTCTTTTCTGTACATACATAAAGTACAAACCAGCTATTTTTATGATCTTGTGAAGTCATGCTTGTACATAATAGAGCAAAATGTGCAAGCCATTGGGGCTCTCTTGTTATAAAAAAAGGTTAAGAACTGGCAATTCAAAGCTGTAATACTCCTATACCATGAAAAATCCCCATGACTAAGCTCCAAAGGGGTGGAACGAAATGCGTTGGGGGTGTGACCTGGCTGGAGCCCAGTCTGAGGCTGCTATTCACTTCTCTTACCCGGATCAGTGCATGATGTGTGGTGTATGGACACTTTCCCTGCTACACCAAGTTTGGAGCTGAGATGAGCTCCATTCCCGGCCAGCACTTGAAGAGGTTGGCTCACAGATTAGTACCTCTAGCCTAAGCCGCATACCATAAAAAAAATATACAAAATCAATATGTGTGGGTGTGTGTGGCAATTTTTTCATCCGAAGAGAATGATCTTAAGGTGCCCTATACTGTTATAACTGGGTTAAAGAGAAGACTACACTCATTACCAAAATTATTCTATTCACGTACAAGCATACATATTTTACAAATCATAATAATATTCTATAGCTGTAAAGTTTTAAGTCGGCCATACGTGGATCAAAATTCTGTCGAATTTTTGCAGCTCAAATAGCGTCTCCCCACTATCAGAATACATTAGCTCAGTGGGAGGATTCCCCTATCCACATCAGGGACTCAAGTCATTTTTTTTTCATTCAACCCGTTGGTCACTGGGCAGACTTAGGGAGACAATCTAATCTTTTTGGAATTTTTTTTTTTTTGCAAAAAAGGCATGAAATACAGGGTGAATATCTGGTTCTCATGCTGCAAAATATGCTTTAAGACAAATTGGAACATGCTTTGAAAGAGCTTTTGCCTTCTTTTTGAACACCTAGGGGTTAAATGTTCAGAAGTTACAGATTTTATCCATTTATTTATATTTCTTTTCATATATGGTGAACTTGGTGAACTTGTGTCTGTTTTTAACCTATATATCTATGTAACTATGTAAGAGTTCACTTGGGTCAGGCAGAGTCCACACATAGTTGGAGCCAGAGTAGAGAGATAATTGCAGAATCATAGAATAGTGTATCACTCTTCTGGATTAACAGCCATATACCACGGCAAAAGAAAAAAACGGGTACACTGCAAAAGAAGATATTATAGCCATTATAACTACTTGATGAAAAGTGTTCACTATTAGTCTGCTGGAGTCCGTATATTCACAGAAATAGTGCAGTGCTAATTAAAATACAGGAACTGTCATACTACATGCAATAGCTAATCATACCAAAATGTGACTAAACCACACAAACCAGTGACATGTATAAATTACACAAACATAAAATGAATAAACACTGTCCATATGTAATCATGAAGTGTCCAAAATGCTTCACAAAACTCAACCACACAAATGTGATATAATCCATGAAAAAGTGCAAAAGACAACTAGATGTTATAATCTTCCACACTTACTGTACATTACACACATCTTCCCATGTGATCTTTACAGTGTTCATGCAGACAATTGGATAAGTGTGCACCCTTTTCACCTAGGGCTCTAATCCTGCTAACCTATGGTAAACACCTCATAAACTACAGAAGGTCTAAAATGCATGATATCACAAGGTTTAAAATTTCCAGCTCTGAGGGGGCCCTCAGATCTAGCACCACACCCATTTGAATGAGTATGGGATACATAAATTACTAGTGTAAATAAAAACAGCACACAGTTTTTAACAAGTTGTTAATAAGAATTAAAAAATGTTCCCTAATGTAGTTTCCATTATCAATCATGATGATAGCAGCCTGCCACCCGCACAAAGAAAACAAACACCAACATGTCTGTTCCTGATGCTTGGCTCCAGCTTACTGACAGCCAATGGCTCCCACTGCTGTTTGTCTGCCAATGAGGAGAGAGAGAGCTGCTGCTCTCCTGCACATCGCTGGATCAATATCAAGCTCAGGTATATATGAGGGGGCTGGGGAGTGCAGACCACAGAAGGTTTTTTGCCTTAATGTATAGAATGCATTAAAGTAAAAAAACCTTCTAGTTTTACAACCACTTTAACTCTTAGTGAATTGACACCATTATTACCTATCCATATGTAGTGTCCCACTAGACTTTTAGTGTTTTAATTTAGTTTTTGGCCTCCTTGTAGTCAGAGAGAGCAGCAGTTGTTTAATAGTGTCTGTTCTGGGTTCTGCTGGTGCAGGCTTATTTACTTTCCCCTGCATCCTACTGTGTTATGGTATATAATGGGTAGAAAAACACAGACCCTTGCCTGCATATTAATTCTTCAGCCAATTAATAGTCAGTGGGGTGAGTGACCAGCAGTGATCAAGAACAGAGGTCTCTTGTTCCTGGGGGAGTAGGCCTGAGGGCTGTGGCATCCCTTGGGTTCATTTGTAGCCAAAATAATCCTTCTTGGTATCCCAGCTTCTGATTAGGCTCAGGGACCTCTGGCCTAACCTCCTGAAGATTGAAGAGAGCTTTTCTAAGGATCCAGGACACCAGCACTCCAAGTACAGAAACTGATTGATATTGCAGGAGCCTATACAGTATACAGGAAACAGTGAGTACCAGCCTTCTGGACTTTCTTTGGCCTCTTTTGGGAGAGCTCATTCTTTGTACATCCAGGACTATACTCTTGTTGAGGAGTCCCTGTTTAGTATCAATTTACCTTCACTTTAAAGGGTGTGCCTTCACCCTGAAGGAATCGTTCAGATGTAGTGTCCTCTATTGCAAGGTGTTAAAGTTAATTGGAGTATCCTTAGGCCCACCCCACCCTATCCCAGTTCTCTAACAAAAAATAAATAAAAAACACAAAAGAAAGACATGCAAAGATAACGTGCCTGGCTGCTGTGCCTATCAGGCAATTAAACCTGGGACCAAACAGCCAGACCAGTCCCGGGTCTGCGCTACATATATTGCTTTGGCTCTACACTTATACCTTTGTTACAATAATGATTCATAGACTTGATCCTAAGGATTCCCTCAATGCTAGTTCAACATGGCGTGCAGCTTATTGCCAACACTTGCTTCAGGAGATGACGCTATTATCTGTGTCCTCTAGAACTGGAGGTTGTTAGTCAGGCCTTCCAATGTCAGCATTTCTGTATGGTAGAACTAAAAGGTGTTTCACAACTCAACAAAGCAGTGGAAAGCGTAACAGCAGATTTAAGTTTTGCAATGTGGAACCACAGGGTTGCAATATCATCACACTCTTATAGTTCATTGTCTGCCAGTGTTCTGAAGTCATGAAATTCATCCAAATATGTATCCACTTCTTCTAAGGCAATAACCATAAGGAAGGCATTTATAAAAAGGCTCTGTAGACTGCTGGGATCACGTACTAATTCTTTCAGCCTTCTCAATTGTGGATGAGTTTCCCTCTGCAACTCCATGTATGATTTGATGGCAGGCATCTGGTCCAATATATGTTCTAACAGATTTCTCAAGTGAAAGTCTCTATGTTCTACATCTTTCAGTATTTTTCTGTTTTCTATCTCACAAAATTCACAGAAAGGCTTCAGCTGTGTTATTATTTTACTACTTTTAGAAAAATAATTGAAAACTGTGGTTACACTGTAGCCTGCATCAACACACAACATAGAAAGTCCTTTTTCATTGCTTAGGTGGAGAAGATAATACAGGCAGCTCTGGACACAGATATACTTGCTGTGGTTACTAACCTCTTTTTGTAGGCCATTAACCTCCCTAGCAGTCTGATTATGTCCATATTTCTGTGCTCAAAGCGGTACTTTTTTTGCATGGAAATATGTAGTTTTTTTATTGTAGGCCTATAATTTTTAGGAATAACTCACTGAAATCTGTCCGAACAAGAGTCTAGTAAACATTCCGGGTATGTTAAAATTTGAAACACGAAATCATAAATTATAATTTAATAAATAATCATAAAAAATAATAATATAATAATAATAAATTTAATTCAATAATATAATCAAACCAAAAACACTGAAATTTGAAATAGAGCGCCAGTTCACACATCACTGAGCAAAGTCGCAAAATCGTTTTCAGTGTCTGATGACGAATTTCCCCACAAATCATTATCACTCAATTCTGCAAGTGGTTCTGATTTACTATCGCTGTTATCTAGCTGGCCTAAAACTGCTTTTGACCTAAAGGTTCAAGGCAGAAATAACAGTAAAAATGCAGGCAGGGCACAGGACAAAGCACTAGGGACAAAATGTATGTGAAATGCTTTGATACAGTAATGTTTTACTATGTGATTTTAGTGAATTTAGTGAATATCACTTTTAAAATTTCCCACCAGTTCCGTCCCCGTACGTCCTGACGTCTCAGGGAATGGAACCCGGAAGACAGATGCTGGCATCGGCCAGAGGACATTGCCAGGGAAACTGCAGGGGGGACATTGCGGGAGCGCAGGACAAGGTAAATGCAGAAGAGATCCCGGAGCAGCACTGCAAGGTATTCCCGAGTGTAGCTCGGGGTTACCGCTTGTGGTGCTGAAATTTTACTCCGAGCTACACTCGGGAATAC